GTTGCGGCGGGGGCCGGCCGGCAGCGGTGGTTAGCCAGAGGCGGTGGTCGGCCGGCGGCGGTGGTTGAAGGCCTCTGCAAGAAGAAAAAGAAAAAAAATCTAAAGGAATAGAACCTAAGCTCTAGATACCATGTTGTAATTCAGGAATTGTGTGTATTGTTGTACACACACCAATCTTATTTATAGAGTGAATACAATAAATGATAGAGATACTAATCTCTTATATTATGGAAACTAATCTAATCATATCCCTAATTGATAGTGAGGATAATAACCATAATATATGTATCCACAATATCTGTAATATATTTACAATATCTGTAACAGTACGGAAGTGTGGTTTTAAAGGAAACGGGAGGACAAATCTTTTATTTCTAAATTAAGAGAACTATATAACATTTAGAGAAAAAAAATACAAAAATTATGCAATTAAGTTTATGGTATTTTATTGTTTTACTTTCTTATTTTAAAACACTGTCTAACCCTGTCTATGGTTCCATAACTGATCCCACCAGGCCTGGCCAGGTAAAAAAGGAAGATTGTGTTAGACCCTTGACAATCAAAGTAAAACTCGTCAAACTTCGAACATGAATCAATCATAATGGATTATATGTGCCAATGTGAAGTCGTTATCAAGAAGTAATGCATTGTATGACTCACGCATAGTGTTACTAAATGAACTAGGGCCGATGTATGGACACCCGGATGTAGTTTTGAACAAGGATTTTCATATTTTAATGGGCATATGTGAATAAAGAAACTTGTCCAGGAGTACCTAAATAAGTTTGGTAATTTAAATATTATCAGTACTTTGACAAGTCTCTGGGGGTAATGAACACCATGATTCAGAGAAAAATTAACATCATATTTGTTCAAGAAACTAAATGATTAGTGTTAGAGAAGAAGCTAAGAAATTAAACACTACATGCTTTAAACTTTAGTACACCTGACCTTCCTCTTGGCTATATGTCCCCATTGGCAGTTGAGCCCTTAGATAAAAACCCACCACCAACCTCTGAGCCACCTCATAAGATTCTTGCCAAATCCAACGATGTATTGCGCAAAGAATAATTTAACAGTGTATTGCAAAAAATGGCATTACATATTCATGATCACAAGTTGTTGATATATTTCTTTCAACATAGTTTTGCTGGAGCTGCCTTAAGCAAGTACATACATCCCGAGGGGGTCCACATCCACTCTTAGAAGGATCTGATAGATGTCTTCTTGAAACAATATAAATACAATATTGACATGGTGATAGGATTCAATTGCAAAATATGATAAAGGACCAGAAATGTTCAAAGAGTATGCTCTGAGGCAAAAGGAGGCGGCTACCCAGGTAAACCCTCACCTCTCTGAAAAAGAAATGGTAGCATTGTTCATCCAGACCTTCTAATCTCCTTTCTAAGATAGAATGATCGAAAAAGTGTATCATCAAATTTCTCGGCCATTGTTATCATGAGAAAAATGGTAGAAACAGGCATGAGTGAGAAAATTAAATTACCAATGGTTCTGGCAGCCAGCAAGAGTGTTAACCCTAAAAAGCCTCCATTGAGGTTGATAAGGAGGAAAGGGAGAATAACTTTGTAGCTTATCAACAAAGAAGGATCTCTCAATGAAGACCCCACTACAGCCCAACTATCCTCGCCAAACATTCCCTACCCCTCGTGTCCCTCCCATACATTGCATCTGTTGCACGAACTCCTTACCCACATCAACCCTACAATCTAAAGTCCTAAACACACCATATCACCCACCTCCACCTGTCCAACTGAGGCCACCCCGTGCATTAGAAACCCAACACACTCTTTCATGGATCCCAGGTTCCAAGTTCCAACCTATACCAAGCTAGACCCACCCCAACCGTCAATAACCAAGATGAGGCCACTGGCATTTGATCCGATCGCAATGACTTTAAGGGAATACACACTCCATGCAAAAGGAGTAGTAAAAAAATGAGAATGTTAAGATGGATGTTCGACCACATAAGAAAGAACACGATTCAAAATTATTGTATGTGAGGAGATATGGGTGTGGCACCTATTGAGAAGATGACAAAAAATCAGTTAAAGTGATTTATACATATGCAAAGAAGACAACCGGACTATCAGAGGTTGATGAGAAAAGTAGATCATATGGTTTTCCCCCTATAAAAAGTGGTATAAGAAAACCTCGAAGGACATAAGAGGAAATTATTAAAAGAGACCTCGTGATAAATTATATTCCTAGGAATTTAACTTCTAACCAAGGCCAATGGCATTGTGTGATCCATATCGCCAATCTCACCTAGTGGGATAAGCTTATTGGTTCATTTTCAAACATTATCTAATTGGAGAATATTTTGAAAAATTTTCCCTTTTACCTTTTTCCTTCAAAACCCCACTTCCTAACCTACCCTTAAAAAGTACAAATCACATCAAACACTTGCCAATAAGAATTCAAACAAAGGTCATAATTAAAAAAGAAATGCTAGGAACCCACTCTTTTTCAACAGATTATCTTTATTGATTGAAGTTTATTACAAAATTTTGTAGGTCTCCATCTTATTTGATAAATCATAAATCTCTCATGATTTTGTAGTTTTCAATAATTTTTAACCAATAAGAATGTATTAGAGGGCTTATATTAATGGATTTATAGTGCTTATAAATGGAAGCATAACCCCCCTAAAGTGCTTCTAATTTCTATTCAAATTCCTTTCTAATGCACTAAGATTATAACTTGTCAACTTTATGAATTTTAAGTTTCACATATATAACAAAGTCACATTTAAATTTGAAAGCATAGGAAACAAGTCAAAATTCACTGCAAAAAGCAGTCACTAGTAAAACACCACAATCACTCAAACTGACCACTTAATGACTAAAACAAACAATCTTGTGATCAAATTTCAAGGGAAGAAAATGGAGTTGTTAAAATCAGAGATAAAACAATTATTTTGAAATAACTATAACATGAAGCTAGCACTAAGAAAGAATGGGGTGAATGCCATGTCTTGAGTAGTTATACTTATATTGTCTACACAGCATAGGTGAGGTGCCAAAACTATGGTTACCTTATCGTTTATTTTAGGAGAGTTGGGTGAGTGCCATGTCATTTCCATCTCCGTCTGGCAATGGATAAAACAGGAATTTATAAACATTCCAATCTCCTTTCGTTGTTGGAATTCATTCAGAGTCTTCAGCAAAGAGCCACGGAAACCTGGCAACGATAATTTCCTGTGTTATTCATGCCTCAGTGTGGCTACTAAATTTAGGTTCCAGGTTAGATTATCATTAACCAAAATTTGTGGTATTCCAATCTAATCAAGTTGAAGGCTTACAAAAGTTAATGAACCATGACTTCAACAAAATACCCAGAAACTATATGGTGTCTATAGTGTTTACTTACTGTCAAGTTTATCAATCATGTTAGCATTACAATTGCGAATGTTCAGTTTGCAGCTTTGCCAGTGACCTTGGGGATCTGATTCTTGAGGTACCAAAATATTGCGTATCTAAATACAATTTGATGAGCATCAAATGTCTGTCATAGAAAAATTTTAAAAAAAAATGTCCTACGACAATAAAACATGCACACTAAGGGAGCTTACCTGCCAGAAATCATAAGCTGGATGAACAAGGAACAGTGGAGTCTTCATGTTCTTAACAATTTCTGACGGAAAGAGACACTGCATTACACATCAACATTTGGTTGTTATTTAGCTCAAATATATGAATAAACTGACCAAATTTTACAGTTACAAATTATACCAGAGGATGAGGCAACAAGATTTGAGAAACTAAAAACCTGCCTTGGATGGTTCCATTTTAGCAATGCAATCTTTGGGAAAACTTTTTGCAAGACCCTGGCAACAAGATATGTGAATATTATATAAATAAGTGAAAAAATCATGTTGTACATTTTTTTAACTAATATATTTAACAGATAAGTATAATTGTAGTTCCTTGAAGAAATATTGTTATAAATATATAAGCAAGCACATCATTACCTGAAGCTGGAAAACATCATGATAGAAAGATCTCATTGTACTGTTTCCACTAATATCCTTCCTGAAAGTTATGGAATAAATATTATATTAATTGTTTTACTTAGTAACACATAAGATGAAACATGGTGAACATGCCATGTACAGGTACAAATCAGAAGTCAATGCACCAGATGCATGGTTTTCAATAGCAGTTAATGAAACTCAAGCCAATTACTAGTGATGATTTTATTTTATTTTGTCAAGAAATATCATCCTTGGATCACCATTGTGTAATAATCTAAAAGGACTTTTGGCAACTTTCAGTTTAAATTTTACTAGAGAATATCATGGTTGAAAAAGGCAATGATATGTTGAAAGAAACCTACTCATCTAGGAAGAAGCCTGCATCAGCAAGACACTTGACAGTTGCCTCCTTTGGAAGTAATTGTCGGAAGTTATCACAGTGTATAAGAGTTGCCAACCCTCCAGCAGAGCATCCTGAAAGCAAAGCCTACAAAAGTAGCCTTATCTATCGTCACATGCTATCAAGTTTTACATCAAGGCTAATGCAACATAATTCATAAATAGTGCATTATGTCAAAAGCATATAATCCGGAATATAGAGTGAAATATATCTGGCCATTTGGAATTCAAATCATGTCAAACGAAGACAAAAGAACTAAAAACACAATAGTTCCTTTCACTCTTGAAGCTGCACTTGTTCAAATTCATATGCTAAGCTTTAAGGTTTCACGTTATCATAAATGCTTATTGCTCAAGTCCAAAAAGAGAAAATGGAAAATAATTTTGCATATTGCACAAGTTCATTTACAATCAAGGACAACCACTTTATTATGTTACCAACTAAAGCAATAATTAAAGTAAAGAAAACTTCTTAGATTATAAACTAACAGAAATATTATGATAGCAGACCCCCAATTAAAACAATGTATACAAAATGGCAGTCAGTAATGTTGAAATGATTATTTTGTGCTGTCACTTAGTTGAGATTTGAGAAGACTCTAAAAATCAGAGATATGGAGGAGAAAAGGAATAGTCTTTTTGAAGGATTATCAATAAAGGTTTAGGAGAGCCAAGACTCTCAAACTTCATGGCTGCAGTATTCTTTTTGTACGTTATCATTCTTCTATCTCAGACCTATGGTCTCTCTGATTCAGATCTTGAGAACAGAATTCAATCAATAAAATCTTTATTTATTTTTTTCACTGTTCTTCATCTATTTCTGATCCAGTTCTATCAGAATAATCGCATAACCCAAGGATATGAATCATATGATTATCATTGTCTCACATGCATCACCCAAGGATAATAAGTGAAAAACAAACAGAATATCCAGCAAATTGGTCCATTCATTTGATGTTCACAGTGAAAAGATAAAACTGAGTAGAGGACTGACAGCCAGATATTATTGTATCCATTTTAATAAGCACTATTATTACTATTAAAGGGAGCTTGGTACACGGAAAGTTTCTACTTTCCCGGGAATTTGACATCGAGAATGTTAATTTCCCGCGTTTGGTTTGTTATTTAAAAAATAATATTCCTAGAAAACATTGTTGTCCAAGAATGTCTTTTTAGGTAAATTTCCCATGGAAGAGGCGGGAAACTAAATTCACCGAGATAAAAATAAAGTTTTCATGCGATAAAATCGTTCTATTACCTTTATTTGCTTTTTCAATACAGTAAACATCATTGATTCCTTGGTAACAACATTTATAAACATTCCCAAAACATTTATGACCAACCAAATAAATTTTCATGATTCCTAAAAAGTAAAAATCATGAATTTATGATTCCCATGAATCATGATTTCCAAATATGAAAAAATTTGTTGTGTACCAAAAACATCCCCTTATTGTTTGTTTGTAACAATCTCAGAAAATTTTAAAAGATATGATGGAATTTGGTTAAAGTATAACCTGTTTTGCTGTAGACAAGCCAATTGACAAGAGTTCATCCATAATAGCATCCCATATGACCTGGCCTCTGAAGAACAACCCACTTGCTCTCTGCGGTATAAAATAATTTTAAAAAAATACATCAACATAAACCCAACTGAGTAAAGGACAAATTTCTAATCTTGATATGCAGGACAAAGAACTACTAACAACCAGTACCAAAGGTAAAATCAATCCTAACCTCACTCTCCGGGTGACCAGAGAAAGATGCGCCATCACAATAACGTATCTTCACCTTGTTCCAGTTAAAGAAATCTGAATAAGTTTGACACATCATATGAAGTAGCATCACTTATTCAATATTTCTGACTATCTATTTATCTACATGCACACATTACTCGCTTACAAGCAGCAAAAACCATGCAACTGCCAGATATTCATATCCAAGGGTGAGCTGGAAACATACTTGGTCAGGTTTGAGTGAAAACATCTTCAAAACAATCAATCATCAATATTACAACAGTGGTAATCTATTCCACAATTTTTCTAATGATTGATTTAATCCAAAGGTCCCAGAATACCAAAATGTCAAAACAAGAATAATGATGTGGTACTATGTCACTGTTGAACTTTGTCATCATAGTATTCAATCATGACAATGTATCATCATTGATGGCCAATAATAGAAAAAGAGTAATGCTACATATACAACAAAACTTATACAACATCACTTTTATATCTATCTCTCTCCATTACTTCATTTGTTATGGAGAGATATTATTGATGATGAAGAGAGATAGCCACAAAAACGATGTTGCATAAGTTGTTGTACAATTTTTGTTGTATATATAACATTACTTATAGAAAAATGCCTCAAAACAGCACATTGAATATAAACTTTAAAACCAGAAATTGCACATTCCTACAACATTAGGGTAAAGATAGAGAGAACGGGGGCATGAAACTATTTATTAGTACTCCCTCCAAACTTGAATATAAGAAAAGAAAGCCATGTATATCCAAAATTTAAGCAGATCTGATTTGACCTATTTAGTGAAATCATCCTCAAAATACTCTTTAATTAATTCAAATTTTATTTTGAACGACCCCTTTGATTCTTGTTATATCAACTACATGGCCTTCAAAATGGAGAAAGTGTATTCCAATTTGAAACAAGTTCCCATAAGATTGAAGTCTTCCATCAATTGGCGTGAATGATAGTTTAGGGGATTAACTTCATTTCTTAAATATGGTTGACAAAATTAAATGAAATTAACTAACATTCTTAATCAGTGCAAATTAGTTTTTTTTTTTTTTTTTCTTTTAATCAGTTAAAAGGGAGCGTCAACTATCAAGGTAGGGTGTGATAGAAGCATTGAAGTTTTACTCTAGCAGTATAAACCAGGGGATTAAACATTGCAACTCTTACAGTGACCTCAAAAACATTGATATTGCTGGAAAATCCAGAATCCAGACAGACGCAACTGCAATTGTGGAATTTAAAAGTTAAAAACCACGATGTAAGTATGTTACAGGTACATATAACATACCAGGGTTTTGGTAGGGGTCAGAGCTCAATATTCCTGAAAAAGGAATAAATTTTTCCATATACTTGGAAGACCCCAAATGAGAGAATTTTCGCTTAGAACATGAAGATATCGAATTGCACCACCCTCCTCCCTGCACACACAATTGAAACCAGCTTAATAATATTTTTGAAAAGCCACTAGCAACACACTTTTAAACATATTATGAACATGTTTGGATACAAACTTAGAAACACTTTAAAGAGATTCTCTCCTAAAAAATACTCTTTATTTTTAGTAAAGAAGTTTTCAAAAACACTTCTAACTTGTATCTAAACATGTTTTATTTCTAACAGACCCCTTCTAACATATTATTCTCTATTATTATTGATTAGAATTCATTAAAAAAATACATCAAGGGAAACTTGTCAAATAATACTTGAGAACTACTCAATTTTTTAATTTTTAATACATTTCAAACGCTTATTTGAATACAAACTTAGTAGTGTTTTCTCAGACTTTCTCTACTGAAAACAAAGATTTTTTTTTATTTTTTCTTTTTTCTTTTTCCAATAGAGAAACTCTCAAAGCTCTTCTAAGATTGGATCAAAGGGGCTCTTAGTCAAAGAGTGTTGCTACCATTTCTCTAACAAATTTCTTCAAATCTCTAACACATTTTTGCTAATACGTTTTAGGGTTTAATGGTGATACACTTACAGAATCACAATAAGTTTGTTAACTTTCACAATAATTACCTTAAAAGCCATACAAGCCATGTTTTTAATCAATTGAACGTGTAAATACACTGTGGATCCATGACAATTAAATCTTATGCTTTATAGGTTAAAATTTATTCAAAATCACATCAAAGCGTGAGTCACACTTCCTATATAACGAACTAGTTCATGCGTATGCTATATAATAAGTGAACTAGAAAGCGAATCGATAGCACTCGTATTTCCATAATTTCAAAAGTAAAGGCAATTTGAGAAACGGAAAAGTAGAAACCTCGACGTGGATGAGCCAATTGCGAGATCCGGATCCGAAGCCGCTTCGGAAATGGTAGCCGGGAGCGCTGCCGTCCAAGCAAACTGCAGAAAGAGAGGGAAAAGAGGGATTCAGTTAAAGCGGAAGAGAGGGAGGCGCGTGGGGGAGTGGGGAGCGTACGCGCGGGCGTGTGGCGGGCGTTGCGGAGGAGCGTGAGGGGGACGAGGTGGGAAGAGTGAGAGTGGGAAGGGGAAGGATTGGGATCGAAGTGAGTGAAGAGAAGGAGCGAGAAGAGGAGGAAGAAGATGAAGGCGGCGATTGCGTAGTCCTTGGAGGACCAAATTCTGAGAGCGCGAAGATGGAAATTGGGAGATGACGAAGGCATTGCGGGGTTGTCGGCGGAGAAGGGGAATGAATGAGAATATGAGTCAACGCAGCGCAGAATGTATATATATGTGTGTATGTTGTTTTGCAACGTGCTAAACGTGCTCTCTATGTGTTTGGTTTTGTTTCCCGCTACTTTCATATGATGATGGGGTTCCGAGATAGATATCTTTTGGGTACAAACCCAACGGCCAACTGTGTCTTGTTTGTAGTAATTGATTGAATGCGAAGCAATGTATTACGCCTTCTGTCTTAAAAAAGTTTCAAAATAAATAGTGTTTTTATTTTTCAATGTAATATTTTTTTCTAATTGATCGTTTCATATTTTATTTCTTATATTCTCTATTGTATAAAAAAATAATGTTACTCACAATAAAAAAAAGTTAGTTATTTGCGGTAAATTTTGAGAGTATAAGTAGGTTGAGTTAGACTGAATTTTAATGGATCTACTATCTGATATGGTCAAAATTTAATAAGTTGGATTAGGTCAAATTTGTGAATTTTTCAAAAAAACTTAACCTAATTCAATTACAAACAAGTTGAGTTGGGTTGGGTCAATCGATCAATATAATTAAATTTATTTATTTGTTGTAAAAATTTAAGTATTTCAAAATAGATATAAATTATTTGATACATTATTGTAAATATAATGTTATTAATCTATAAAGAAAATAGTGATACAAACTAAAATTTAAAATTAATTTGTTAATTTGTTACATTATTATAAACTTAAAAAGTCGACATTAATTAATACAAAATAAATATGTTATATTGTTATAATGTTATCAACTTAAAAATATAAATCTCATTATTGAATAAAAATGATAGTGAATATTATCCTAAGTAAATGATCATTCAAACATTATTATTATTATTATTATTATTATTATTATTATTATTATTATTATTATTATTATTATTATTATTATTATTATTATTATTATTGTTACATATGATCGGGTCTCTCATGAGTCAAAAACACAAAATTCGTTATCCAACCTGTATAGTGTTAGATTTTGATTGAAATAGGGTGGTCTAACTTGAATATTGAAAAATTTGATCCAAATTCATTGGGTCAATTCAGGTTTGCAGGTTGCTTATACTTACTTACACTCCTAGTAAATTTTACTATTTTCATAATATTCTTTCCAAATTTTCTTTATCATAAATATGAAGAAAAAAAAAGTAGTGCAATTGAATTAGAGGAAGATAGTTTAGAGAAAATAACATTAAATGAAACAAAAATATTTAAATTTTGCTTATATTTTAGAACAAAAAATGTGTTTGTTTGCTTCTTATAATAGAAAATAAAGAGAAGATTTAACTATCACAATTCAAAGTAATGCATTTAGTGAGAGATGATTATTTTAGTAAAATTGTGTCAAAAGGAGTATCATGTTAATTTTTTTTTGTAAAGAAAGTCGATTAACAATCTATCTCGACCTTACAAAATGAACTTGTAAGGTGAGGATTTCTCCTTACTTATGTTTGGACATCTCGAACGTGAAATTTGCAATATTGAACATTTACGGGTGGTCCAATAATAGTCTGGTAAAAAATGACCCAATAAGTCCAACAACAATCAATAAGCTCATATATGCTCTGACACTATTTTAAGAAAATGAATTAAAACTTAACTCAACCATACAAAATGATTTGTAAGGTGATTATTGTCTCCCCACTTATATAAATTATCATGGGACTCATCTCTAATAGATATGGGATCTCCAACACACCATGTGAAGTTTACAAGACTGAACATTTACACATAGTCCAATAATGGTCTAATAGTGGGTGGCTTGATAAGCTCAACAATGCTTGCTAGGATAGACTCTTATATCATTTTAAGAAAGTGAGTTTGTGCCTAACTTAACCTTACAAAATCAACTTGTAAAGAGATAATTATTTCCCATTTGTATACATTATTATAGTCTTGTTTTTACATAATGTGAAATTTCCAACACATCCCCTTATATTAAGGACTGAACATCTATGGGTGGTTTGACAACCACTCGATAACATACAGATGGGCTAATAAGCTTGCTAACAATCAATTATCGTTAGTATATAGACTCCAATACCATGTTAAGAAAGTGGATTTAGAATCTAACTCAATTTTACAAAATTAACTTATAAATTGGGGATTGTTCCCCACTTATATACACTATTATGATCTTATTCCTAATTAATTTTAGATCTCCAACATTTTTCAATATAATATTAATTACTTCTTTTCCATTCATAATCCTCGTAATATTCTTTAAAAGTAGTATTGTGTTTCATCATTTTTATCAAAATAATAATAATAAGGTTAATTTTATAAAATCACTTTTCTCTTTTATTTATTTATTAATTTTGTCTATGTAAATTAACAAGGGGAGACACTTATTATGAGATGGATAGAGCATTTAAGAACTAAGTAGACTACTGGTTAAAGTAAAAAAATTCATTAACATTAGTTAGTACACTTGTATTCCTTTCTCAAATTGTCTAGAATCCAAATATTGATATTATATATAAAATAAATTATATTAGAATGAAAATAAGTATTTTATACATGTTAAAAGTCTCGACAAAAATTGATCATAACTTATGACAAAAAAATATTTTATAATAATATCGTAATTTAAAAAAACATATCATAGTTATTTTTATCCGTGGATCTATAAGGCTTTGATATTAAAGACCGAATTAAATTTTTTTGAAAGTACATTTTAATTTTCATCATTCACTTTATTTCAAAAGTAGATATATGTTTCATAACTAATTTGGTTCAAAAGCGCCTACTTTTTGCTTTTTTATTTCAAAAGTAGACTTAGGTTTCATAACTAATTTAGTTCTAATATTTAATTCGCCTACTTTTTGCTTTCTTAGAAGTAGGGTTTTCCGTGCTTAAGGAGAGGGATGGAAACAGAAAGAAATAGTTTAGGGGGGCAAAAGTTTAATGTATGAATCAACGATAATCTATAATTAAAGTCAATTGCTTCCGAATATTATTTTTTTAATTTTTAAAAATGAAATGGTATAATGGTCAACAAAAGGTGGTGACTAAGGTGGTCACTAAAATTTATTATTTCCAATAAATTTCAAGCAATATTCAATATTTTTTCTTTACACAATTAACAGATGAAATTTATTGAAAATAAAAAATTTATGTATGTTTAAAGTGTAATTCGTTTATGAGTCCTTTTTACTCGAACTAGTACCAAAGTGTTTCAATTTAGGTATTTTAGGTATTTCAAAGCATTTGCGTTATTAAGAGTGGAAGTGGACAACAAAAAATCACCAAAAGTTGGTTTCCAAATCTTCATGAATTATAATCAACCAACAATTTGCATGCATGTAAATACTTAAACGAACAGTGTGATTAAAACATATATTGGCAATGCAAATCATCATTCAATTCACATAATGATCAAATACAATTAAAATAGTGAAGCAGGTTGATCAGACTGAAGTACAATTATACAACTACGCTACGTGATTAAGAAAGAAAAGCTACACTAATCCTAATCCTAAAAAGAGAAAAAAAAGTGGCCGAGAAGTAGTCATACCCAAAAACAATTCCTTACACGAAAGTCATATGCGCAGGCGGAGAGTGCTTGAGAGTTCAGTTCCAGTATGAGTTTTTCCGACCCCTGTGAAAGGCTATGCTTCTCCTATTTATAAAGACTCTCGAGAGCAGTTATCTTTCGTATGCATGTGTCGTGGGCACGTAACCGCTATCCACTACGTAAAATACGTGGCTTAGAAAGTAACTTCCTCTAACCGTTCTTCCCACATGTTTTATTTCCTTGATCCGCACTTTAATAACTACCTCGGTGCAACCATAAGAAATCTTCGATAACCTCTCGATTTCTCCAAGAACGTCATTATTCTACTTATTACTCGAAACCAATTCTTTTCGATCTCGAGCATGAATGCGTAAAGTTTCTTCCCTGTTACTGGTAGGTGTTATCTTTATATTCTTTTCGAGTAGTTTCATGTATGTAAATTTCGACTCACGTGGTCTTCGAGTAGGCCTAACAAATGCCCCCCTAGGAATTCAGTCTTGGTGAGCGTACTCATACTGTGATAAGAGAGACTTGAATTCCTATCAACAATCATTTTCTGATTCCTCATCGAAATGGCTTAGTGTGACTTTATATTTCTTCGATGAAAACCTACTCTGACCCCGCATTTAATGCAAATGACCGTTTGATGGGACATTGATTGCCTTGAAGGCTCATGCTTGCGCTACCCCATACATCTGTCTTTGAGAAAACGTTTTTGGCGGCTGTCATGAATACTCAATTTAAATTTTGAATTAATTTGGCAAGCCCGTTTCACCTCAGGCCCATCAATGCGTTAAAACCTTCTTTTTACCCTAGAGTAAAAAACCAATTTCACTACTTTCTTCCTTCGCGCCCAAGTTTCTTTGCTTTGCTCTCTGCTTCTTGGTTTTCTTCTCCGGCGACCTTGCACATTTTTCCTCTTCACCATCTTTCTTTGCTCTTCATCACTATCATCACCATCATGGCCTCTTCTACTGCGTCCACTTCTGCCGCCGTAGCATCCGTAATTTCCCCTACCATGGCATCTGCATCATCTCCTACGATGGCTTCTGCGTCGTCACCCACCATGGCCACTGCTTCTTCAATGCAAACTCTTCCTCTGCTCACAACCAATGCTACTGTCTACAACATGAAGGATGGTGATGATAATTTTGTCCCTATCCCAGGCATGGAGGAAGCAAGCCTTAAAATATTTCAGTCCCAGGTACTTCTTCCTTTCACTCTTGTAGATGGTAGTACTCATGCTTTTTTAGGTCCGTTCATGGGTCAAAATAAGAAAAAATTTGGGAATACCTTGTTACCCGAAGACTCGTCTACCTTACCCTTCATTCATTCTTCAAAAATAGATCTGTCTTTATTTGGCGATACTGCTAAGATTTTTAGGGCTTTTCCCCCTACTAAAGATAGGCATCTACAATGGTTACTACGTGTAGAAAATGCAATGAGCTCTTCTTGGGTAGAAACTGGTATATTCGAGTTTATTCAACTCGCAAAATTTGATCTGCATCTCTTCGACCCTCAAATGCTCATTTCTGCAATTTTCTCTGGAATAGAGAGACTCGAGCCTTTGAGTTCCCCTGTGGTTTCGTTTGTCCCACACTATTGGATATTGCAACAATAACCGGCCTAACCCCTAT